CTAAGCCCTAAACCCTAAGCCCCTCCTGGATCCTCTGTACCATGAATTTTCCATGCCGGGGAGCTTCTATACTCCCATCTGAAAATCCCGGCCCAAAAACTAAAGGAACTCCACACCATGTACTCCCAAAACCTCTGCTACTCTTCCCAGCACCCGAAAGCCAAGATCTATTCTAGGGGTCGGGATAGACATTTAGTACAGAAGTCTTCTTTTCAGGCCATAAACCCTAAACCTAAACCATAAACCGTGGCTCTTCATATAAAATGTGAAATTCGTCGAACCCTGATCGAGCCTCTTTTTCTACGGGTCCATGTACTCCTATACCTAAAAAGGGAGTACTATCTAAGGCCAACGCGAAAACAACTTGGGCGCATGGAACCGTAAGGTTCGGAACGTTTTTGCGGAACCTTTTGTTTCCCTGACAGTCTTTCTTGAGGTCTGCTGGCGGCCCGAAACGGCTGCGTCTTCCCTGCGAACGCGCGGAGTCCTCGTCGGTGCCGGCACTGCCTGGCACCCGGAGTGTCTTAAAACAGCGGCCTAAATAATTACCTATATATATATATATTCACTGTTTTGCAGATATACTCCAAAGCCTAAACCCCAAACCCAAAACCCTAAACCCTAAGCCCCGTTCTAATTATCAAGGCCCCTACATCAGTTTCGGGTTCTGGGGCCTTGAGTTGGGGGTGATTCTGTTGGATCTTCGGGGTCTTGAAGGGTTTTGAGCTTAGGAAATTAGGGTTTTAGGGTTTAGGGTTGTGCGGTATAGGGTGTAGGGTTTTGGGTTTGGGGTTGTCAGGGTTGAGGGCTTTAGGGCTTGGGGTTTTAGGGTTTAGGGCTTTAGGGCTTTAGGGTTCAGGCTTGAGGGTTTAGGGTTCAGGACTTGGGCGCTCCATCAGGAATAAGTGTTCGGGGTTTTGGCTTTACTTTCCGTTGGAGGTGTTGTTCTTTAGCGCGCAGGGAAGTGCTGCAGCAGTATAATGGTTGTTCGTCCTAGATCGTGTTGCCTGATTGCATTCATTGTACCATCCTCAGCGCTAGAAGCATCGTTGATGGTCGTTATGATCACGTTCATCCTCGGAGTGATTGCGTTGGAGCAGCAGCAGCGGCAGCAGCGCCGCCACCAGCACCACCGCGACCGCCACATTCCGCTCATCATTGCCACAATCAGCAACAACAACCGCTATCAGCATCACCATAATGCACATCACCATCAGCAGCATGATTAATCTCCATCCTCGTCCATGGCATCATGTCCATCATCAGCAACACACTGTTTTTGTTTTCTCTCTCTCTCTCTCTGTGTATATATATATATATATTAAGGTATTTATGTGTTTATATGCTGCTCGTGCGAACAAGATGCTCACGTAATCCCTCAAGATGGTCTTTGTGATCGGGACTCATTACTTTAACGGTCCAAGTACTTAATAAACAGACACACTCCCCCATATATTAAGCTTTGATTATTACCATCCGTAACCAAAGTACGCGAATCTTGGGTCCTTTGGACCCTTGGGGTGGTAGCCGTCATCATGGATATCACAGCATTCCTTGAATCCTCTAAGCCCGCGCTCCAGATCCATAACTAGATGACTAAACAGCGGGCGCTCCAGAAGGCAGGGGATCTGAATATAAAGCCTAAGTGGTAGATCGCTTGAACTCTGGGACCCCGAAAACGCTTAATTGATGGGAACCCCGCAAACAGATGTAGCTTTGCTGGACAAAATAAAGCCTGAGTCTGGAAGTTGAGCGCCTGAGTGAGGTCTATGGGGACTTAGGGCTTGGGGACAGCGTGGGCTATTGATCGGAGATGATGACGTTCAAGGTGCCAGGCGGTCAATAGAATTCCTGGGCACAAAGCGCATCAGCTTGCAGATCTTGAAGCGTTGTTTATGGAAGGAGGGTGTCTACAGCCTCCACGGAAACAATTGCCAAGACTA